TGGGTTGTTGCTGTGATGTAGTATTTGTCGTGTGCTAAAGAACAGTTTCTGCTAAAAGTCAGAGCAATATCCTATTAACTTGATCAGGGTTGTTTGTCACAGTCAAAATGAAAGTTTGACTGTATTTCATGAGTAAGTATTTTAAATGTATTTTAAATGCACTGAAGGTAATAGCTACAGTAAGGAGTGCAGAATGCTTCTGCTTTGTTGCAGTTACGGTATCAGAAGTGCTTAGTGGCCAGACCTCCTTCGCAGAAAGTTCGGCCTCCCCCACCGCCTGCAGATTCAGTGACCAGGAGAGTCACAACCAACGTAAAGAGAGGAGTGCTGTCCCTCATTGACACTTTGAAACAGAAACGCCCAGTCACCGACATGCCGTAGCTGCGTAAGAGAGAAGATTCTCCTAACATTTAACTGCAGATAACAGTAGCTACACTAAGGGAAATGAACTGATGGTGTTCGGCCTTCCATTCCAAATTGCTGATGCTTTGTCTTAAGAGAATTTATCCGTATCAAAACAATGCTAGACAAGCATGTTATCTCGTTCTTGCCACCATCGTTTGATATGAAAAGAAGCATGAATAATTTTTTTCCTGTCAGTAAGTTACATCATGAGCAATGGAAGGTCTGTTTGATTGTAAATAAGTAAACATTACCTGAACTCACACAAAGAAAGAGTATGGCCACGTCCTTCCTAGTGAACTCGTGCTGAAGTCCTTGGAGTGAATGACGCTTGAGTTGATAGTTTCACCGTCTTGAGCTGGATTTGTCGCAAACCAATCTTAAGTCCTACAGCACTTTGGTTCTCAACACTGGAGTAGATACCAAGGATCAGCTACCATTGAATTACTGCAGATTAAATACCAAGTTTTTTATTTTTTACAGAACTAACCTGTTAATTTTAAATTGTTTGTCAGCATTGGTCTGCCTGACACTCATGTGAATCGTTGTCATTTGATCTCTGTTTGTACATTACAGTTGTAGACAGAAATTGTTTGATACCAAACCAATGCTGAAAAATCTGGGAGTGTTTTCTGTAATTGAGTACAGGGTGATCCATTGAAGCTTTTCATCTTTAAACATACAGATGCACGTGTTGGATGCTAAATATGTCATCCCAAATTGTCATTAATTGATCAAAAATACTGTTTGTTCCACATAGAGCTCACACTGACCAGGAAAGAGTTAGTCAGCAGTTTTACTGTCTTAATACTCTCACAGAAGCAAAAATGTTACAGATGTTTTCTATATGAGTGTTTGATCAAATGTTCCATTCAGTGTTGGGTTGCACTACTCCCCTTCTGAGTTTGCTGCTAAATGGTTGTTAGCATGCCACAAAAAGAACAATCGTGTTTCTGATTATTTGCTAAGTTCAATGGAAATTCTTTTAGTGGTCTGTTGTTGTTGAGAGTTGTTTTCTAACAGCTGTTGAGTTGAGAGTTGTTTTCTAACAGGATGTTGTCGCAAGTGGGACAACTTCATGTCAGTGCTTTTGCTCCAAAGGTCTCCTGTAATAGCCTTGATCCACACAACTGCCGATTCTGACAAAGTCAGCACAGTAATGCCCCTTTAAAATTTTGTCTTGTACTGATCTTCAAATGCAGCTTCGTCTTTCTCTCTTTGCCATCTTCTGTTTAGACCTGCAGATTGGTACAAATTTTGGAAATGGAACATGAAAGATATTAACTAATGTTAAAAATGTTTTGCCTGCATTTATATATATGTTCCAAACTGTATCTGTCTCCCAAATCTGCAAATTTGGTCATGCTGCAATTTTAGAAGGACATTGTCAACGTTGTTTTTACAAGAACCATTTTTTTTACTTTACTGTGCCAGAGATTGTTATAAACAAGATTGTTATGAGCAAACAATGATTTTTTTTTTCTTATTTTAAAAAGTCAACAGCAATACCTGGGCAAAACATGTTAAGAATACAAGGGGAAAGAGTGATGATTCAGGAAATGCCTTTATTAGAAATGTAGAAGAATTATTAAAACACATTTAGCCTGATGTATGAGCGAATGTAGTGAAGGCTAGCCATGCAGCTGTAATATTCTAAATGGAGTTCTTCAGAATACCTTCTAAGGAGCTGATCCTGCACTATGTTCAAGAAATGTTTAGATGTTGTCCTGAGGGACATGTTTTAGTGGGAAATGTTGTTGATAGGTGGATGGTGGGACTGGATGGTCTTAGAGGTTCTTTCCAACCTTGGTGGTTCTATGATCTCAAACCTCTGCATAATAGAATTTTTGCACCCTGGGCAGTGAGGTAATTCTGTCCCATCCCAAGTCTCACGTTCCTGCTGCTTGGAACCAGCTCCATTGCTTGTGCAGTTGGAGGAGAGAAGGCCAGTCTGCATAACGTGAGTAAACTCCAAAATTAATCCAGCTGGCCACGTGGCTGTGCAGATGACAGGGAGAGCAGGAGGGGAGGTGAGGCAAACCCTCCCCTTTCAGCAGTAGCAACCTTTGAACTGCCTATGAAGCCAGATTTTGAAGCGTGGAAATGACAGCTTGTGTACTGGCTCAGTCCTGTTTCTCCAGGTTCTAGTGCTGATCCCACATAAGTCTGATGGGAACAGTGTAAAAAAAAAATATTGCTTCCTCTCATGGCTGCTATCAAAATGCAGTGTCTCACAACGTCGCTAAGCAAGATCATGAATTTGAAGGATGTTTCCTTGTTAATCAGAAAACTACTGAATCAAACTTTGTTTTATATACTGAAAATATTTTGACAGCGTCTTTCTTTTTAAAGTTCCAGGTGAAAACTCCAGGATTTTTATTTGCTTTACAACAAAGAATGTTTAACAGTATAATCAAGTTCAGTAGTGTTGTCTACACAGTGCTGCTTTTCCCCAAGAGAGAAACAGTCCAAGTTTAAACCAAACCAACACTTGGGAAACAGCAGTGTTAAGGTAAGAAGCTGTGTCAGGAGTCTTTACACATCTGTGTCGACAAGGCTCTGAACACAGAGTTTTCACTGGCAAAAATGTGCCACTGCAGGAAGGGCTGAGGGAAAAGAGAGAGAAAGGTATTGGAAAAGCTGTAGGTCCCCTGAATTTCTTGTCTGTTACCAAAATGCTGTTGATTTTGCAAATAATTAAGTAGTTTGCTTAATGGGCCAAAATATTTGGCCTTTTGGCTTCAGTAGAACTCCTGAGTTTCTAAAAAGTGTTAAATATACACCCAGGTGTTTGTAGAATCAACACCTAAAATTGCAGAGCTCGTTGTCTTTTATCAAACAATGTACTGAGGCACTCTTTAACTATGGCTAAAAATGTGTGTATGGCATACACGTGTCTGAGTAACTACCACTGTTTTATTTGATGTTGTAGCAACCCTTCAGTTATCTATGCATTTTTTATAATACCCAGCGATTCTGTAAGCAGGCAGCCATGCATTCACTATGCCTTGTATGTCTGATGCCATATTTTAAATTAACCTGTTAAATACAGCTTAAAATATTTTTATTTTATTTATTCTATTTTTACTGAAATATCCTGCATTATGATGTCGATGTATTGTCTTTACTGGACATGATCTTGTAACGTTCTCTATGCTGTATACTATAGGTTGCCTAAAAAAAGGCAGCTTTGTAATTATTTGTAGTCACATTTTTATTGAAGTCTGTAGAAAAATCATGTAAAGCGAAGCTAATTTCTTATTTTTTTCAATGCAAGTAGAAACTAGAGGTAAGTATCACACATCACACGTCATTAATGCGCTCCCTTGCAGAAGCAAGGAGATTTATATTCACCATCAAAAATGAGAGATAAAAGCCTTTCTTTTGAAATCCGCAGTGCTGGCTGTAGGTTTTCTTTAAGCCACTGTTTGTTTCACTTGAAGGGGGGAGAGAAGTGGTGTGGGAGGTTCAAGGCTACAGAGACAACTATGGGGACTTTAAATAGGAATAACAAAAATTGCACAGAAGCGGCCTAGGACCAACTCACAATAACACTGTGCATGGAGATACCTGTGCCTGCTGAAGCAACATGCCCTTTTGTGACAGGAAGAGAGGCTCTGGAGTGTCTGACAGCTTATTCCAGGTCAGGTCTGCGTCATTTCCTAAGAGTTCTGCATCCTTTTATTTTTAGTCTTATCAAGTATTTCATAGATGATTATTTTATTAGTGATGTACAACTGTTGGTAAAGCATCCATGCAAAACAGCGCTTTTTTATTTCAGCAGCTCATGTGGGTTCAGCCTTAAATGCCATTATTCCTTCCTTGGGCAAGTTAATTCATATGTTGCTAAAAACTTGTGCTGCACAGTCAGCAGAAGTAGGTGGACCCACACCTACTGGTTATTAGCAGAGCTCAGCCTTGCATAGAGCACCCAGTTGATGCTGAAAAGTGCAATTTCCCCTGCTGTTGTCCACTTCTACACATCTAAATGTAATCTATTCTGAGAATAAATTTGGCTGCATAAAATGATTGTCTCAACTGTTGCTGGTCCAGGGAACTGGGAAATTCTTTCTTTTCTTGTTCCAAATTGAGGGAAGGGAAAAATATATGATGGCTGTTTAGAGACAGTAGCAGTGCCACGGAGGTTTTTGTATGTATAAAACTGAATCAGTGGCTTCTAGTTGAAAATTACAAATATTTAAGTGGAACACTGAGAACTAGTTATGTATGATACTTCACTTTATTTTTAAAAAGTGTTTAATTGAGCCTTCAGGCTCCTATCCACAAGCCGTTTGAAGTCAGTATCAGATGTTGCCAGCAGGTGATGTTCGGTGCTCACCAAGCAAGCTGGTAAACCTGCTGAACTAAAATCTTCCCTGCTAGCTCTTCTGTATTCTTGGTAAGATATCAAGGTCACCACTCGTTTGGTCTCCGTAACATCTGAAGGACTCAGCTCCCTCAAAACAAGATAAAAGGCCAAGTGTGGAACATCACGTGTAAGCCCAAAGCATGTTCATTTTGGAGTCATTTTAATCAATATTTAGTAAATGAGAGACACTGGGCTCTATTTTTAAAAATATGCAAGTTCACTTCTCTAATTTAAGAATATCTTAAGCTTCTTTTAGGCATTTAACAACCATATTAAAAAACAAACAAACCCTTCTTTCCATTCCTTTTGTCTATTACGTAGAATCCTCCTTGAAGGTGGTTTGAAAGAATGTGGGATTCTTAGTTTTTGTTCCAGTTCTATTGCAAACAAACAGGTCTAGGTAAGTATGTTCAGAAACAAAAACAAAGCTTTTCCTTTTATTGGACCAGGTGAGGAGCGTAGATTACTCACAGCGATGTACTGCAGGTGAGCGGTACCTCTGAGTACAACAGGCGACTCTGATTAAAAACATGAACAGAATTTTTCACTGATTCAGTGGAGTAGTAATATTTATCTGATGATGAAGAAGCAGTTCTTTGTGCCAATGGTGTAACACATCCCTTCTTCTAAAGCTTGTTTGTCTACGTTGGCTGATGTGGACAGGAAGAAAATAAAGATGTTAAAACATTTTCTCTGCATGGGTCTAAATCCTTAAGATTCCATATCATATTGCTGACACTTGGCGTGTTTACATTCAATAAACTCTTACCAACTGTCATAATGAACAGTTGCTAACAATTCCTGAATTACTTTTTCTGTTCATACTGCCCATATTTAGTACTAAGTCACTTATTACATTGTGCTCAGACAAATGTAGATATTCACCATTTATTCTGCATTTGTTAGCAACAGGGAACAGGTTAGGTTCCCACTGCTGATTTCTCAACAGTGGAAAACTTATTCAGTCCTTGTGTTCAGTCATTATTCAAATAAATAGTTACACTATTTATAAAAATAACTTAGATAATAGCTGCTTATCTGATGTGAAAAGAGCTGCGTTTTGGTTGATGTTACTAAAAGTACTGAATTGACATGATAATGCATCGTAATATTTATATAGTTTCCCCTTATAATATTTTTAAGCATCTGTGAGTGGAAACCAAGGGAATTAATACTGGAAAGCCCATGGGCTCAAATGTACTTGGCCAGCTGTTTGTAGAAAAAATCACATCAGCTTGAAAACTAAACTAACTTGCTTACTGTGCAAGGCTTAGTTTCTGCGTGTCACAGCCCAAAAGGTAATTTACAAAAACGGTGTGCTATAACTTGTCATTTTAAAGTCTATAGCAAATAGCTGCAGTATTTTTCACCTGACTCCCCCAGTGGTCTATCAGCCTTACGCAACTACATTTACTTTAAAATGTAACTCTTGGTTTTAAATGGCTAACATAGCTATTTCCATGCAAATATCTGAGAATTAGTCTCACAGTAAGACTGTAATGAATAAAGGTATATTGCAATCTACATGCGTGAATAAATACATACAGGAATCTTTACCTTTTCTAAAAAGCTAGGGGAAAGTTTGAAGATTCTTACAGCCCTGATTGAGAATTTCTGAGCACTGTTGGTTTGACTACTTTAGACACAGGTGGAGGAGGTTCTCTGTCCCTCAAGCTTCTATTCCTCTGTCTGGACTGGAGCAGAGAGATATGAGCTGGCATCCTGCGTTGGTTTCCTTGCGGATGTCCATATGGTGATATCATTGGAGGGAAAACTATTTCCACTAGCTTCACTGCGACCATTTTTTTACATTCTGCATGTGGCTTGACCATTTTTTTACATTCTGCACGTGGCTTTCTAACTTGTGTCTGCTTTCTGTGCACCTTGACAACAGATGTGTGCTTTGGCACTTTAGAAACACCTCTGTCTGAAGCTGGGTTGATGGTAGGTTTCTTCAGCTGAACGTGACCTCTTGGTTGGTTGGAATTCTTTTTTTTTTGTTTGCTTTCAACTTTGGATACTACAACTGCAGCTTTCCTGTTAGATACAGCTTCAAGGTGAGGGACTGCAGCAGTCTTTGGCTCTATGCGAGTATGAGTAGCATCACTTCCATGTTGTGCTACTTTCTCTTGCTTCTCTTCTTCCTTTGATTTACCTAGAATGCTGTCTAGTAGTAGTCCTTTTGCTGCAGCTTGAGACAAAATATCTTTAGCGGACACATTTTTGGAAGAGTCTGTCTGCAAATTTCAAAGGAAAGAATAATAAATTGAGGAAACAGCTGTAAAGTCAATTCAGTAAGCCCAGATTCCTCAGTATCTACTCCACAAGAAAGGCATGGCAGTATCACTGTTTGCTCTATAAATAAAGGCCCTGACTGTTGTGTTAAGTGCTGTCTGAACATTTACTCTTCCAGAGACTTTGCCCTCTACAGGCCAGAAGAGGGAAAATGAGTTCTGGACTTCGGTAGACAAATGTCTGCACAGCATGATTATTTAAACCTTGTGGGCTTTGAAAGCCCCTCCCCCCTTTTTGGTGAAAAAGCTCTACTGCTCTCAGCCACAAGACGAAAAGCTTGACACTCAAATGCAAATCATCCTTCTAAGGTCTTTCCTCAGGAAATCATGCTAAGGCTTTTCTGTTTACTCAGCAAAGTTTCACTGCCTTTCAGCCCAGATTTGCATATAACTTAGTTTAGAAAGGAAACATTCCTATCCATTTAATACAAGTTGTAATGCAGTCTTAATCCATGCTGGTGACACTGCCTGCTTGCATACTGGCACATCCTGATGATACATACAGACCTAACCAATAACTTCACTAGACACCACTTAGAATGAATCTAATCCCAAGCTGTCTAGCTCATTCCAAGGTTTGATACAAACATTTCCTCCTAAATATTCCTTGCACAGACCTAGATAAAGAGATTGCTCTGACCACAACTGCTCCAAAACGAAAGTACATGTAGAAAAGCTGTGTTCAGCCTAAAACATTGTGCACATTTCAATTGAAGGTACTTCTAGAAAAGCTGTAGCTTTGCTCACCAACTCTTTGGTTTTTTCAAGAAATCTTAAAAATTAATTATTTTCACGTGTTCCATTTATGTATTCCTTTTGTGGAAAATGACAATTGTTCTCTTCTGTGATTTTAAATTTTAGTTTTCTTACCTCTCTTGCTATAACAGCCAGAAAACAGCCGCTGGAAATTTCCGATGGTTCTATTTTGAAAAAAGAATCAGTGCAGGACTCTGGGTTGGAGCAAGCAGGAAGAACAGGAGGAATCAGTCTGACAAAAAGAAAGAAATGACCAAGAAATAAGAATATACAAGGAAAAAAAACACGGATACGTTAAAAGTGATTTGTAAAGCATGTCTTGCAAATGAAAGTTTTATAAAACCTATCTTCATTCTTTTTTAAAAAGAAGGGCTAATCAAGACATGAGAATTAATCTTTTGAGAGTTATTTTCAATATTAAATTACATTAACCACCAGATAATGAATGTATATCAACATAATTAAGAATTGCATTCTTTCTTGAGTCCGCCATAGCTGGATAATCGAGTTGTCCAGGAACATGGGAATGCTCTGAAGGCACTCAGCAGTACATAGAAATTACAAAGAGGTTGACTTTGAGTCAATAACTGTATGCTCTTAATAAATAATTTAGGTAAGCTAGATATCCTATTTGCCATACTCAACTACCAGGGCTCCAGTTGTTGTTTTTTTTTCAATCTACTGTTTTGTGATGCATCAACAAGGCAGGAAGGAAGGAAGTCTCCTTTTCCCACATTCCCCCTACACTCCAGCAATTCCCAGCTGTTACAAAACAGATGGCAGTGATTTGGTTCATAAGGCCAAGAACAAGTCTGTCACAAGACAGAAGAGTATCTGTGATGATCCCAAAGGACATTTTATCAGCACGACTTGTTTCTTTCAGAGCTGCTATATTCTGAGCACAGGTGCTCAGAATTTTTCACTGGGTTCTGTATTTCTAGTAAATCGAGTTACCTCATGCTAAGAGAAATGCATGAGGAACGATGATAAGGAATACTTACATAAGGAAAGCTTGAGCTTTCACCTTAAGACAAGCATGATCACGCTGTATCTCATTTATAGTATTCTGTTACTGCTTTGTCTACACTGGCTGCCAGCACCTTCATGGTACTGGGACAAAAATCCAAGATCTGTGCATGACAGTGAAGGATGAGCTAATTCTAGAATCATCATTTATGAAGTTCCAGCCATCCTCAGCCACAAAATTGCTGAGTTTTGCAAAAAATTCCAATGCACTTTTACGTTACCTATTATCTGTGATCATCCAGTATTTCAAAGCAAAAGTGTGATGTGGTGCTATGACAAGTTTCATGATATTTCTACAAAACACTGAAGAGGTTTTAGGATTTCTGAGAAATTTTCTTATGGGAGGTTTTTTTCCTGAAGAAAAAAAATCAAAGCTCCTGAAAAAAAACCTTTTTTTTTTTTTTTTTTTTTTTTTTGTGAATTATTCTGTGATATAAAGAAATATAAGTTCTCTTCTACTGGGGGAAAGCAATAAATGAAAACATTAGGAACAACTTAATGTCTCTTATCATCAAAAAGAATGGAATCAGAGACAGCTGAAGCTGATATTGTTAATCTAATACAAGACACAGATTGGACTAGGTTAAGAACTATGCTACTTCAAGTTTTATATAGACAAAACTATTCATACCATACCTGAATGGTTTTAGTTTTTTTCCTTTCACACAAAATTCCAGTGCTTTTTGCACTACTTGTTCATTCTCTTCTGGGTAAACTGAAGAAGTGCAGTAAACAATAGATTGTACTTGAACTACAAAAGAAGATTTTAAGAGACTTCAGTGTTAAAATCCTTGAAACACAGTGGTTTAGTAAGGACTAAAACCAGTATGAAAATTATGCTTTATGCTATTTTTACCAATAAAATACGCTCTCCTGCACGTGAGCTTTTTAACAATTGAAATCTTTTCAAATACTGGCAGATTTCAGCACAAATTCAGGGCTGTCTTTTCACACATCTGCTAAAGAAAAGGCAGAAGAAAGTGGCAATTTGAAGATAGACTACATTTACAACTTAGCCAAACTGAGCCTGACTCAGGCAGTTGTTTATGCTGTTGTATTAATGGCTGGTGAATATCACAACACAAAAACCCTTGCTTGAAGAAGTCATAATTTGGAGGTTAAACATTTACTGTTAACTCATAGACTAATCGGTGTATCTTTAATGATATAAATCCGGTTGTAGTACAATGAAATTGACAGTATAAGAAAATCTTTTCAGGAACCTGCCTGCCAGCACACTTACATTTCATTGCATGCATCAACTCATTCAGCTGCCTCTCAGCGAGAATACAGAGTTTATCCTTAGACACAGATCCTTGGTAGAGGTCTTTCAGCAATCCTGCATCTATATACAAAGAGTTGTCATTTATTAACATGGCTGCTCTTGGTCTTGTCTTAACATTCAGTTTGCACAAAAGGCTTGGGTAGCAGACCTGATGGTCACTGGTACAGTGAGAAGGCAGGCCTTACGGATCACGATACCACGAGTGCCTAAGCAATTCTTTCCTTGTCAAGTTTACCTCTAATTGCTACTGCCTCTTCTTTGTTTCTGTTTAATGAAAGCTGAACAATGAGTATTACAAATAGTCATTAAAGGAGTGTGATTAATAAAAAATCATGTACTCGTATATTGACATAAATTTTGTCTTTTTGCTTGAAAAGGAAGGCAATATATACTCTTCTCCCCAGAATAACCCTCAAACTTCATGCCACTGACTTGAAATTGCCTTCACAAAATGCTCCTAGCCCTTCAGTGCCACACAGAAAGATTTTTTTCTTATTAAGAATTCTAAGGTAGGACAAATACATCCTGCTCACTTTCTATGGAAAAATCTGAGTAATTGATTATACATTATTCTCTTCTGTTTTTCCATTGTAGTCTGCATATATGTCACACACAGAGAATTATACAAGTCATTAATACATCTTTTGTAGTAGTTTAAAGGAAGTTTTGTGCGTGTTGTTTGTCTTTTAAAAAGATTACATTTTATCAGAGCAGCTGTATTGTTCAAATCACAATAGCTAAGGAAATATTTCTACCAGAAAGCATGCATTAGCTATGGTATCAGAAGTTACCTCCATGTTCAGTCAAAATAAAATCTATTGGATTACTAAAACTCAGCCCAGAGCACTGTGGTATCAACAAAATGACTTTTGCATTTTGAAGCCTGGGATCTTTCGGTTCAATCTCAGTGAAGTCTTCATGCAACAACTGAATATCTGAAATAAAACAAAAAGGTGGGGTGGTTAACTCAGCAGTTCAACACTAAAGCAAGTCTGCCTAATTTTAAAGTGATGGGGTTGAAGAGACAGCAATGTTACACAAAATTCCACAAAGCTACAGCCTGCTGGACCAGACCCCCCAACATCCCACTGATTTCAGGCAGACTGAGTGATTAAGCCTTAGCATCTTCCACTGAAGAGACTGCTAATTGGCATTGCCATCTTGTTACTGTTTGATCACATCTTCTGGGTAAACTGGACAAATGTATAAATTTTGGATTAGCAATCTCAGAAACAGGTAGAAATCAACCTGAAAAGCAACAGACAAGACACCAGATACACAGATGCCGCAGTTTGCAGATCCCAGCCATTACACAGGAACTACTTATGTGGAGAACTTCACTGTAACATTTCAGGAATCTGGATAATCTGCAACCTTGTTGAGCCTGATTGTAGCTAAGGAGTTGTCAGTTCACTCTGTGACAAAAATAATCCATTACTAGCCTCCCAAATCTTCAAAGAAGGGATCTCTAAATTCTGATAGATTTATGACCCGTTTATAGTTATCACAAACTCCATCAAAATCTATTTACAATACCTTCAGCATACCAACTGTTTCAACACATACTTTTGCATCCCATGTGACTGAACAAGTCTCCCAGTTCAGCTGCTTTTGCAGAAGTTTTTACACCACAAACAAAAACTGTGGACATGCTGTGATTTCTCAGTGCCGACAGATGAGCGATGGTGAGGTGGGAACCCAGGTGAGCCACAATAACATCATCATCTGTACTCAACAGCGCCTGCACAGAATGTACAGCAAGGCTGCGAGACTTATCCTATAAAACAGTGACGCAAAAATTCAGCGTTACCAACTATTTGGGTTTCTCTGAGCATCAATCTTTTCCAAATTAGGAAATTAATTCACTATTTTCATGATAAATAGAAAAGAGAGGAGGAGAAAAAACTAATCACATACAGTGGCTAATATGGAATTTTTAAGAAGACAGAATCAAGCATCTTAAGTCAAAATCACTAAATTTCACTTAAATCAGAAGGCTATGGGCAATGCGATCATGGAAGGTGCTCCTGCCCATGGCAAGTTGGGTGGAACTGCATTTTTAAAGGTCCCTTTCAACTTCAACCTTTCTATCATTTCCTGTGATTCTATGATCCTTCTAACCTGAATTATTCTGTTCTGTTTATCATTATCCCATCAGAAATATTCATAATATTCCTCTTCAGCTGCAGGACATGAATATTTGCATACTGTCATCCTCTAACTGGGGATAATGTACACTGAGATACACAGAAACTTTCCTCATATTTTCAGAAGTGCAGCCACATTTTCAATCACTTTTGACATTTTTAAAATTAATTTTACATTTTATTTAACTGTAATTATGAATTATGAGTACTAATATTGTCATTGCAAATCTTAATAAATGAACTCTGTTTCTGAACTTCTGATTTTTAAACATGTCCAAAAACTTCTCAGAGTATGTTTCTGCCTGCCTGATGTAATAGGGCAGGCACACAGCATGTGACCTTACTTGAATGTAAAGCATCATTTTGCTTTGCAGGTTGATATTACTCACTGAAGGGTGGCACCAACTCACCTGCAGTAAGAGCTTGCAATCTGCAAATAGATCTAAATTAAGCAGTTCGTCTTTAAGAGAGGAAGGGAAAAACAAGACGTTGTGGCAATGCTGGTCCAAACAGTATGTGTAACCGCTGAAGTCTGACACAGATTCAACTTCAGTGAATCCCTTACTCTTCAGATCTCTGAAGACATCTTGAAGGCTGTTAACATACAGTTCTGACCATTAAATATACACCACCTTCATAAGCAACATAACTCACACTGATGTTGATCACTGACTTTTATTGCTTCGATGTCTACATGGGTGTACACATCCCTACACCTGTGGCTGTATAAGACATACTGCATCTGTGTATAAAACATCTGTATAGATTACACACACACACATAAAATAGTAGTACTATCTGACACAGGAGGGGAAATCACACTACTACAGGCTTTGAGGTTCTTGTTTTGACTCCTAAGTTAGTAAGTGAGATAACACAGATGAAGAAGGAGCTGTGTGTCTCCAGAGAATGATTCACAGCACCAATATATAGATGTCCTTGAGCTCAGGAGACCCTGCAACAAATTTACTGCCAGAATAGCTTGGTTCTTTTAATTGCTTTCAACATATCCCAGTCCACCAATGAATTCAACAATTACTATCTGAAGTAATCCTTGTGTGAATGTAATAAAGGCATAAATGCTGAGGTTTGCAATTCAAATATCATGAAGGTTTAAAGGCATGTATACCAAAACTTGAATGTTAAATTGCAGTTTTAGACAGTGCTATGAGCTTATGTGGTGTTTCAAAGGTAGGGTCAACACTGCAGCCTTTAAATCTCAATCTGAGCTAAAGGGTGAAAGATTGCAGTCAGACACTTTTTCTTAAGAAAACCATAACCACCTACAAGCACAGAGTATTGGTCCAAGACAAAAGTATTAAAAACTCCTGAATACATGATAAAATGCATTATTTGTAATAACAGAATGGATAACGAGACTGGAAACACCAGCCTTACACGCTTGATGACACAGTGAATGATGATTAAAAGAATCATTAATATTTGACACAATCTTTACATAATAAATACTGCTTCGAAGCATTTTATCTGTCTTAGCACCCTCTGCCAAGGTTATTTCTTATACCAATATGCACAGAATGGCTTAGGTAGGAAAAGAACTTGAATATCACCTGCTTTTTACAAAATTTTCTCTGATTTTCATCACGGAATTTATTTGCTCTTGCAGGGAGATCATGTCAGGAAAAAAAACTACTTGTTTGGTGAATATCCTCATAAGCAATATAGTCTGTAACAAACTCTTTCATATCTTCCATTTACAGTTCATTAATACAGTTACTGCAATATATAGAAACTTTAAAACAAACAACCAGCATAGTCCAACATTGTTCTACTAAGACTAAGGACTTTTATAAGAAATTTAAATTACCAGCAATCAACTAGCCTGGAAATTTTACAAGAGTACAGCAAACTATCCAATCACATGTGTAAAAACTAAAACATTAGATGACACTTTTAAGATGTTACCTGGTCTTCAATGTGTTTATCCAAGCACATAAAGGCAAGGCAGAAGCTCTTTGTTCGTGCTTCCTTATAGTTTCTGGTAGAAAGTGTTCAATTGAAAGAGCATCATGCTTGATGCGACATCTTGCTAGTGCAGCTGCCAATTTGATCCTAAACCTAAAAAATATAGTCATAAGCTTACTATGTTTTTTAAATGTTGGCACCAACTACTTACAGGCAACATTTCTATTAAAAGTCTCTTGCTTGGACATCAACAGCGAGATCTCGCTTTGCAAGCTTATAGAGAAAATACATAGGTGCAGGTATTTTACTGCAGAGTAGATGGCTGAGACTACTGCCTTTCAGTATGCACAGGTCTGGAATTATGGCAGATGAATACAAAACAAATCTCCAAAAGTTGTGAAAAATAAAATATTAAAAATTGGAGGGGGAGAGAAAATATGGATTCAGAACTGCAATCTACGGAATATAATCACACTTTTGCTGGAGATTCAATGATTGAAATATAAGCATAAAGAAAAGAGACCTCTAACCAGTAGAGAAATGGCAGAATTGTGATGGCAGCCAGGAGGTGGTTTTGTTATTACATGAAAATGTCAGACTGAATATTTCTGGCCTTTTCTTCCCAAAAGCTTTATGCCTATTTATGATGTGTGATACTTCAGAACAAATAAAATTTATTAGTGTTAAGATATATCACTGTCTGCCCTCCTTGCACATAGGGTGCTCCTGAAATTTTAGGGCTATTCTACATCTAGCAGTACAATTCTGTCTAAGAAATGGCAGAGACTTAGGAAATGTACACTTGAACACTCCTTAAAATGTTTATTTTACCTATTGTCTTTTTTTTTCCCCCTCTAATTACTTAATACGCATTTAACAAACTTTCATAATAGCAGTATTGCTAAATAAAGGAACGCTGTTCCATTCTATAACCCTTTGGAGCTTGACTATTACATTCACATTTTTGAGTGTAACATTTATGATACACATTGATGCCTTTTGTGCAACGTATTTATGAATGTTTAGCAAATGTATGGTGAACTATACAATTTATGAATGAGTGTAGATATATTTATGAATGTTTGCTAAATATTTCATTTATTTTTTCCTAAAATTATATGAAAGTAGTTTCAAGAGCTACAGAATAAGCTACCTATTTCTAGTAAAATAATTTGCAATATAGGTTGTTAGCAATGTTTTTCTTATTACAGGAGTAAGAAAGTTTCCCTTCAAATCACTTTCTCATCAAAAATTAAAAGAAATTTTGCGAGATTTCAAGATAAAAGGTATCTGCAATATTCAACATCAGGGGACAAAAAAGCAGTTGCTATAAAATTCTGCATTTCTGCTATTATATACCACCACCACCAACAAAATTCTTAGCACATGTACCTGAATAGAAAGTTCTCTATTTCCTGAACTTCTGCTATAGGTTCCTCCTCATCAGATATCACTCGTGCTTCAAACTCTCTGTCTTGCAGGTCGTAAAGCATCACAAGAAGCAGGCTGGTTAATTCATCTGGCTGCAACAGAAGAACAGCTGAATAGAGAGCAAGGCACTTTGCCTCATTTCTGGATTAAAAAAAGTCCATATCAAGCAGTAGTCTCCTGTGTAAGACACAGAACAACTCCAATGAAACACATTTTTTCTGTCAGTTTCTTTCATAGGATTCTTTGGATATAGTAACAGATGAGCTCAAGCCATTACATCACAAGCATTCAAAACAATGGTAAAATCTCCTTCCCATGCCTGAACTTAGGCAGCAATTCCTTCTTAAAGACAGGCATTACCAGCGCTGCCATTACCCTTGGATACATCTTACCTTCTCACAAGTATGACTGATGCAAGCTAGAAAACTCAAGTTACTAGAAGCACGCCATCAAACACAAAATGTAATTGCCTAAGTCTCATCACTGTGCAAAAACAAGCTGAAAATCAAATGTTACTGCTGGATCATTTGCCTGATCACATCAATCCATGCAATTAACATCAGTTCAAATTAATCTTGTAAATATCAAAAAGCATCAAAGGCACCACAGAATAGAATAACAGATTATTCTGCCTTCTCCAGATTTTCTTTTCATAACACAGTTTGCCCAGGAAATGAAAACTGGGTTCAGTGTTTCCTTTTGTCTGATATGGTTCACTCTACACTTTCCACTCACAAGATGATTCAAGTGGGATGGAAAGCACTGAGTGCTGTTCTTTATTTTATCCAAAGCACCACTCAGTGTAAAAACAAGGGGAACCAAGATAGAATCCAAAAGCTTCACTTTGCTTCTTCAAAAGCCCCAGTCTCTGTACTTGGGCAATCCTTGCTCTTTGTACTCACTAAAACCGGACAAGCCATACAATGCATTCAACAGGGAGCTTCACATGAAAGAGAAGAGGACAAAAAGATCTTTGCCTGCAAGTTTGGTTAGGATGCTCCTGAGAGCTTGCAAATAAGATTTTGAACTACCTTGTCTTGTTCAAGAAATAGGCAGAACCCAGGAGTCAAACTTCCTGGACAAGTACAGCAGTTGCTGGTATCCTATTATGTGACTTTTCCTGGCTCATGGACAACATTACACAGCTAGTAATATAGTGCAGTAAGCATTATGATTCATTCTCAGTTTCTTTCTCTGAAGATAATTCCCAGCATTGGGATGCAACATCAAAGAATTTCACATACAGATCATCTAGAAGACTGGAGATTCATAGTTTGGACAACTAATGAAAAAGAATAGACATATTTTGATCTCAGGTTACCATATGGAAAGAACCATCTGAAATAAAATGTTCACTTACTATTGAATGACATGGGTAAACATGACTATCTAGCAGTATTTCTTCAAGGAGATCTTGATCTGGGAAAAAAAAAAAAAAGAAGAAGAAGAAGAAAACATTGTCAAGTTGTACTATGAAATACTAAATTATATGCAAGAACAGCAAATATTTACAAAATAGTAGAGAAAAATCTGAAAGTTTGAACATCATAAATATTAAGTGAAAGTTTACTCATGTACAGTAACAACTCTAATTACCTTAGAAGAAGTACAGATTTTAGATGTTTGATTCTATAAAACATAACCAACACTTAGTTATATTTAAATATTTGAGGGATACTACTAGTCTAGTACTAAATTACTACTTAATTTACAAAAGATTACCCAAATCTCTGTCATCAGGCAGAAACTACATAGTTTTATTCATGTACTTCTCTCTGCCACATCATTTCTACTGACAACTCTGGGAAAAGTTTTGTACTTACATTTCAGAGCACTGAAAGCGAGTTCGTAAGATAAACGCTGGGAATACTCATCTTTAAGAGTCAGCATGGGAGATACTGAGTCATCACCATATTGCACTAACATTCTATCCTTTGGCTTTTTATTATGAATGCTGTGAAAAATCTTAGCTGCGTTTATGTATACAGAATCATGACAGACATTCTTTTTAATCAGAGTCATTGTTCTTTTCTCAGCAGCTCCTTTTTCATCTGAAATTTTCTTTTCACTCAAGTTTCTCAAGTATAATTTCTAACATCCTCATGAAAAGACACCAAGTTACTTTTAGAACCCGGCACTTTTGCAGTTGTTGATTGTGCAAGTGCAAGTCACAGTCCTGAAAAAAAAATCCAAAACAAAATAAAAGTTTGCATTGAATTGTGAAATTTTCTTTCACTAGAATACTCTTTTACCCTCATTTTCAGGTTTTCAATAGAATTCATTTGTTTTTAGGCACTAACCCTGCAAATACATATATACTTGTGTAAGCCTATCAACTTGCATACCCTAGAGAAGTACTTTTAGTAGTTTGCTTACCTTATTTATTTTCACTAATACAGATACAAGGAAGACTGGTTACTCGTTTCCAAGAATCTAGTGTGTTATAATAAATAACCCTGAAGAGATAATAGAGATCTGATTTACCCTACAGGCTTTGGTTATTGTACTGTGCATTTATGACAATGCTTAGAAGCCAGGTCAAATGTTCAGAACAGGGCTAGCTATGCCAAGACAAATCTAGTGATAGAGTGAAGATATACATACATTAGTTTACCTGTCTAGGGAAGAATACTAGAGAACAGAAACACAACAGAACCATGCTGAATTGTAACACAGAAAAATAGCTGTGTGTTTTTTAGCTCCCCTAACATTTGAGAAAAATTACATGCCTCTTCTCCTGTGATAACACCTGCTTAGCATCCAGTTTTCCTCTACCCTTTACTCTTCCCATTCACACAAAATGTACCAGAGAATGAGGAAAGTAACACACTGGCTGGGAAGAAGGCGGAACGTAAACTGTTCCTTCTCTAGCAGGCAGCCATGAAATACCCCTGGCTAAGCCAACAGTCCCGAGCTCAAGCTCTTTTCCCAGCCTTGATGATGCTCAGGCCATCTCTCCCCAACCTCTCCAAGTCTGGCACAAGTCAGCGTCTGTCCAGGACAGCCCATAATTCCCTAGCAAATGACTCTGAAGTACAGCTGGGAATAAGTAGAGGAGAGAGAAAAGATCCATTCCATTTGTCTGTGGAAAAAATGAGTGAACCTCAAGCAGATTACTCAGTTGAGAAAGGAAAAATAAAGACAAACATCAGGTTCCCAAAGATGCAGCTCAGGACAACGTTGGTTGTGAAAAAGGACAGGAAAGAGTCTTCTCACCTTCTGCTTCCAAGGCATAACCCACTGTCCCAGTTACAACGATCAGGAAGCTCTGTTAGCACAGCAATTCCACGAGTATTACCCACAGCATCACAAAGCAAGAGGGACGTTGGTTGTGGCCATTATCTGTGCAAAGGGATGTGAAAATTTCTTCTGAAATCATTGGTATGACAGAAGCAGGCAGCCTCCCTGCCCGCAGTTACTGTTACCCAAGGACAAACTGCAGCAGGAAGGTAGGAAGGCTGCAGGCTTCCAGGAAGAAAGCAGCGAGCACAGAGCTGTACGTAAGCTGCATGGGAAGGAGCGATCTGCTGAACACCTGCCTGCTGCCCCCATGGGACACCCACCCTGTACAACTGCCTTGAGACCAGCAGGTTCAAACCTTTAAAGATTCTTCAACCATCACTTCCCAGTACAAGTGACACGCTGCCCTGTCAGCCATTACACTTACCGATGGAGAAAAATGGGCACGGGCTCCTCCAGCAGCCATGGGAGCGAGCACCTGGCTGGCCCTGCTGGGTCCCAACAGCCCGCACCTACAGGTGCCAACCCAGCCTCATGCTGCCAGGCTGGACTGCACCACTCTCCAGGGCTGGGTGGGGAGGGCAGAGCTGGGCTTTCTCCTGGCAGCTTCTGCTTCCCCAGCTCCCCTCTGGGGGTGTGCCGTGGCAGGGATGAGGCCGTGATGTGAGGGGCTGCAGAGGCAGAGCTCGTGCTGGAGCTCTCTGTGGTTCACATAAGGCACCCAAAAGCCACAAAGCAGTGCCAAGAACCGCCTTGGCAACGGCATGCTTGTGTCCATGGGAGCTGTGTTTCCCAAGGGTTACCATGGCAGGAGCTCTGCAGAAGATCCAGTCTCTCCGTGGCAACAATGTCTCTCACTCTCCCTTTCTTGTGGTGTCAGCGGTCAGTGGTTGTTTTTTTTTAACATTTAAATCCCCAAACAGCATGAATTCCTGTAAATTCAGTGTCTGCTTAAAAAAAAACACACCTTATCTACACTTGGATAGATAATTGCATTAGAACACCCCAGTGTTGGACAGGGTTGGGAATCCTGGAAATACACAGGAGTAACCCCATTTACCAGCCCTATCACTATCCATCTGTACTTGTGTCTTAACTATCTCAACCTCTGCTTTGATTTGGTCTTGAAGGACATAGACAGATCAGGCCTTTATTTGCAGCCAGACTTTCCAGTTGTTTACATCAAAAATCTTTTATTGAAATTACTCCTAATAATAAGTGAGCCATAATCTTGCCAAAAATACACTTCACTCCTATAAACCTTGTTCACTTTACATCACTGCTCTTAAGGGCAAAATTGAGATTCTGTTGAATAAAGGAAAACAGTAAAAAAAAAAAAAAAAAAAAAAATTGATTTGGTTAAAATCCACATTCCAGACTAAAAAATGGAAGCTGAAAAGTGCAAAACAAGAATTATTCTTAGTTTGCTAATTGATTTTCTCTGTTTTGGATCTGCTGTGTGCTCTGGAAACGGTGATGCTGTTACTACAGCAGCAATTGCAAAGGCAATCATGCAGGCTGAGTAAACTTTGCATACAGCAGTTCAAACAAGTATTGGATCCCTTCTGATGAAGGGGAGGAGTACATGACGACTGTGTTGTTTGTATCAGTGAAGAACTACACCAGCAACAGCATAGATGGAAATGAGGTTTTTCTGCTATTTCCTTTTGTCCAAATAGATAGGGCAAGACTATTTAAAAGCCTGACTGGAAATGACTACCTGATTTCACAGCTGTTTCTGTACTACTCTCACAGTCAAGGTACTATTTATGAAACATACAGGTGATCCACTGCTCTTCTGCTCACCAGGGCAGGTGCTGCTGGCCATTGGCTACAACAGGCTGCTCTCTGGCCTCTGCAGTACTCTGCACACTCCACACTCACTTTCTGCTCATATTGCATTTTGCCAATTACTGCTGTTTTTTTCCTGCTACTTTTTGTTCACCCTTCTTTTCTGCACTAAGGATCTCCTGTGCAGTGATGGATCTCAAGTTGCCTTTTTAAAGGCAATAAGAATTTCTTGTACTAAAATAGTTCTGAAAGGGCTTAATCCTCTAAGTGGAATACATCTGAATTCTTCAAAAATATGCTACTGAGACACTAAATCATTTGCAAGTATCTGAATAGTTTAAATATTGAAATAATTTCTTCAGATTCATATGAGCAGAAAATTGAAGAAGGATTAGAGAACAGTTTTCCTATTCAAACATCTGATGATTATATGAAATCATTACAAATGTTCAAATTAAAGCATAATGGAGTGGGACATGGCAGAATGAACAGGGAGATGCTGATGAGGATCTAAAAATTCTCTTCTTCTGGTAACACAACGTATGCACTGTAAAACACTGCTCCATAGGCTTACGCAGAGAAAGGTGTTTGAAAGCAGATTGCTTGGACTAGAGGAAAGTGAACTGCTTCCAGAAAATAGAAGCAAGCAAATAGAGCTGAAAGTTGCTAGACAGAGGCTATCAAAGAAAAAGGAGCAGAGAAAAATGCAGCTTCCTATCGCAAATAAACAAGGCAAGAGGCCATCATTAGTAGTGATTATATATTTTGGCACTAATGACCTTAGCTTTCCAAGATATCAAATGGTATGGTTAAAATTTGTGGTAAAAACACAGCCAGTGTATTTATCTTTAATTTCATTGGTTTGTAAGTTATGTATGTATATTTCTTTTTTATTATTTACCAGGAAAAGTGCAAGGCTAAGTTCTTTGGTTCTGATGGTTATGAACTGGAAATAATATAACAATCTTTACTGCTAACCTTAGGATTCAACAGTGATTTTCTATTCACAGATACTTTTCATAAACATTTCCATCAGAGGCAAGAGCTCCTTTTGGCATGAATGGATAATTCTCAGAATAATACTGTTCAACAGATTGAAGTTTGACTTATCCATACAAAATCTTCTAAGATGTTGCTAAAATAAATGCAGCAGCATTTAAAACAATATTCCTTGAATTTTAAAACAGGAGAAGAGCAACCAGTACAAATATTTCCTTCTGTAATCTAATTACGACTCAAATGCAAAGATCTGATATGTGTCACATCAATTGCCAATATTTGCAGTATATTAAGAAAAACAAAATTATATACAAGCGATAGAAAACCCTTTGTGCAAGACAATATTTTGAGTTGTGCATGTACTAATAAAGCTGCAAAGATATTAGCCAGAAACATCCAAGAAGATCCAGTAAAAAAAAAGTAAACCACACAATTTACATCGAAGAAAAAGTAGTGATCATACAGTTTGCCAGTATGTAAGAGTTTGGTTTTGTTTTTTTTTTTTTTAACCTGTCAGGGACAACATGTTCAGGTTTTAGTGACATAAACAACTCATTTAATCTTCGTCTTGTACAAAGGTGAGCATATCTATACAGAATGGAAATCCCTGAAGCTATAAATACTTAAAGAACTGAAGCTTTAAAGATTTATGTCACTACAACTGAAAAAATTACAACTGAAAATTATAACCTGCCTTGTTAGAACGATTTTTGTGGAATGTGTTTAACGAGGCAAACAACACTATTTTCCTCCTTTTTCCTGTAATTTAGGTTGAACAACAATCCTCCAATGTCTACAACAACCGGAGCAGGTGTGGACTCCTTTGTTCTTCCCCAGTACCTCTGCATACATAACAATGGAAGTCAGAACAGATTTTGGCTGGTAGGATCCTGGCAGCCCTCCCTCTAGAGATCAGTATTCATCAAACTGAATTTAAATACTCCTACTGAGTTCACTGATACAGGATAAAGACTGTTACCTTGTGCCTCTGCCCAGTTAACATCCTCCATTAACATCCTCCAACGATGGGAGCTTGAGATCCTTAGCACATTATGCAAGTCACCATTTCCATTCCATTCACAAGGAAACGTAAAGCATCCAGTTGCATGGGAGAACTGACAGTGGGAGGTTACACACATTTATTTCTCCACTCCAGTCTTTCACTTCTGCTGATATCCCTCTCATGGTGAGAGGTTCAGATTTGGTACATACAAAAATCCAAATTAACTGCTGACCACATCTCTCCTCTGGTCTTTCTTCTTTTACAGTAGTCATGACAAGATGAAGGTAAGCTATAAATAAGACATTAAGATACCTCTAAATCTAAATCAAGTGAACACACACCTACTGTCCACAAGTACCCATTTTTTCTAGGTTTAATTTTATTGTTAGCATAATCAATGATAAGCCCAAAAAATCCTCCTGAACATGGCTTCCTCCCTTTTCCAGAGGGGAATTCCAGTTTTCAAATTCCTTCAGTCTCCAGCTGAGGCTCCTTTTACTTACGAAACCAAGTGGAGCGATCTGCCAGATCAAACAACTCTGCCTGTTTATACAAGGGCACCTGTGCCTGGCATTGGGGTGATTCAGCAGATGAGCCCTGCATCCCAGTTCTCTATCCTGTGTCTCACTATCATCTAGCAACATATTTTTCAGCCAAGGTTATTTTCATGTGCCTCTTAAAAGTTTAGACGATGTTAAAAAAGTGAAAATTGAGAAGATGGAGATTTGTACTTCCTGGGCTCAAACTCTCACCAGCTTGTGCATATTACTGCAGTCTTATTGCAATCTTGTGGAGTTTACTGGATCAAACTATTAACTGTAAGATAAGTCAGAAAATGACTACCTTCGTCATTATTTGCCTGCTTTCTTTTCATACTGAAAATAATTCATTGAAGAGCTAATGCTCAATTGAACGCCAACATGCCAACTTTGCCATTGAAGATGCAGGACATCTTTACTACAGAACATCTTTCTGATTAAAAGCATTCACAGTGCCTGCACAGTATCTTTCTCTGGTGATGAAGATGAGCCCTGCTTCAGAAATCTCAGTCACTACTCTGCAGACATGAACATTTTAGAGAAAGCTGTGATTCTAACTCTTGTTGGAATAAAGCCAACCATTTTAAACCTCAGAAGTAACTTAGCCCTATTCATGAGACCATCCCATTATATGGGAAATATATTTTATATGAGACAGGTTCATGAGAACTGCTTTTTGAGCAATATAATTTAAATGTGGATACTGTGGCAGTACACGTGCATCACTGGATCTTCAGCTGGAAATGAGGTTGCTTATTCCAATGGCTACATAAAGGATCAAGAAACACTGCACTGCTGTTGCTTTTTACCATCTACAGGTGACTTAAGTGTCTTTGCATGAGGTTTTTCTATTCTAAATGCTTTATCATGGTCTCCTAACAATGACAAATCAGTCAGTCCATGACACATATTGACAATTTTTTTTTTTATTATGACCATTCCATTCTGCAAAGTACTTTTTCACCCAGCATTCATTACCCAGCAGAGATAAGGAAAATGTCCTGACAAGTCACAATTACATTTTCATATTGTTGAGCAAACAAAAGTGATACAGCCCTCCCAACCAGGGAGGAAAAATATTCACTCAACAAACAGAGGATCCATAGGAGTATTCATCAGTATTAGGAAGGTAAA